GAGTCCTTTCCTTCCTTCTATCCCCCCTTCCCCTCCCCCAGCGCCCCCCCTTTCTGAGACCCTCTCTGACTGCCCTTACCTTTCTCATACCCGCCTCCCTACTTTTCCCTCTTGTCCTCTCTCCCTCAGAGCCCCTCCTCCCCTCCCCAGGGCTGCGACCTCAACCCTCCCCGATGCTCCCATGCTAAGCATGCCCTGCGTCTTCCTCCCACAGTGCAGCTGACCGAAGGGCCCCTGCACTGGTGCAGCGAGCAGGGGATGACAGGTGTGACCCTGGCACCCGGTGTGAGCTATGACAAGCACACACACGAGGTGGTGGTGGTCCAGGCCGGAGTCTACTATGTTTTCTTGCACTTGGCGCTGAAGCGTGCAATGGCCAGCAACGGCAACAGCTCCGGCTCCGTCTCTGTGGCCCTGAACCTGCGGCCTCTCCAAGCTGGGGCCGCTGCTCTGGCCCTGACCTTGGACCTGCCACCCCCATCCTCGGGGAACTCAGCGGCTGGTTTCCGGAGCGGCCTGCTGCACCTGGATGCCGGACAGCGCCTGAGCGTCCACCTGCGCCTCGCGGTCCGGGAGCCTCGCGCCTGGCAGCTCTCGGCGGACGCCACGGTCTTGGGCCTCTTCCACGTGGCCACCCAAGTCCCCACTGGACTCTCCTTGATACAGCTGACGTGACCCCCAGGCCTAGGTGCCACCCTCTGGACCAAGACTGAATCTTGCCTTTCTTTCTCGGGGCCCCTGGTGATGGGGTCTAGCTACTCTACCTCACTGGGCTGGGCCGGGGTCCTTGCTGCTGACCCCCACTTCCAGGACTCTCCGGGTCCCTCTGTCACTTGGTATTTATTCTGAGCCTGAGCTCAGACAGTGTACATTATATTAATCTGTTCAACTTATATTTATTGAGCTTCTGCTCCGTGCCAGGCACTGTGCAGGGCTAGAGAAACATCAGATAAAAGAGACCCCCCCTCCATCCTTATTTATGTTAATATGTGAGGAATAGAGACTCATTCCCAGTACCCTACACCTCCCCCCCATGGTACTCATGGGGCTAGCTTGTGGGAGTCCAAGTAACTATGCTGTGTGAGCTTTACTCATTCATGCAAATTTTATCAGGCACTGTTTTAGGTGTTGGGGACACAGCCATGAATAGGACAAGGCAAACCCCCCAGCTTTTGCCAAGCTGACGGTCTAGTACGCTGGCTTGACACTGTGACTGTGTGTGACCTTGTGTAACTGGGGCATATGGGAAGGTGTGAGGTGGTACGTGATGTTAGATAATAAAGTATTTATATATGTTATGACTTCTATATATTGAGCATTTACTATATGCCAGACAATGTGAGTTATCTTGAGATTTACATAACTTCCCTCTGCCTTAAGGATTTTATTATTCCCATGTTACTATTATCTGTGCTCTTGAGATATTTTACCTATACTGTATCTGGTGGTGGAAATACTGGATAATGCCATTTTGCAGGACACTGCTTGCTAACTCTGTGTTCTGTGTCACCACACTAGTAACTTAACACATTATTGACCGGGGGATTTTTGCAGAAACTAATGCCTGTGGCATTAATACATCCCCGGTCAATAATGGGTTAAAATCGGCCATGGTGAGAGCATTTACACTACAGGAAGTGGCAAATGTTACAAGTCAGGGCTTGATTTATTGTTCGTTGATTGTCTATACTTAAAGTGCAGGTGAAAAGGATGTTCAACATGTAGATTACACTTAAGTGGTTCTTTTTTTAAAAAATTATTTTCTTTTATTTATTTATTTATTTTAAAATTTATCTTTGGCTGCGTTGGGTCTTCGTTGCTGCACGCGGGCTTTCTCTAGTTGCGGTGAGCAGTGGCTGCTCTTCGTTACACTGCACGGCCTTCTCATTGCAGTGGCTTCTCTTGTTGCGGAGCGCGGGCTCTAGGCACGCAGGCTTTAGTAGTCGTGTCACACAGGCTCAGTAGTTGTGGCACACGGGCTTAGTTGCTCCGCAGCATGTGGGATCTTCCTGGACCAGGGCTACGAACCTGTGTCCCCTGCAATGGCAGGCGGATTCTTAACCACTGCACCACCAGGGAAGTCCCTACACTTAAGTGGTTCTTATCTGTAACTGTTACATTGTGAATAGCACCCCAAAAAATCAAGAAAGTCTCTCTCTAGTGTTTTCAAACCGGTATCTGATTTAGCAAAGTAGTTGCTCACATCATCATAAAGCAAGTGAAGGGTGAACACGCATCTTTATTGTTTTGTTCCATCTCAGTCTCTAAAGGAAAATATCAACCTCCACTCACTTGTTTCTCACTTGCAAGCATAGATTGGCTCTGGGTACAAGAGTGGAAAAAAATCAAAGAAGGCATTCTGTGAGAATCAGTTTTGGCTGTATGGAATTTGCAATGCAGAGTCTCTTATATTTTATTGTTGGAGGTTGTGTGCTACACATTTATGCCAGTAAAATTGATAATAAGCACAGATATTCATTTCACTCCTTGAGAGCTGGTTGTTAAACATTTACCAGCATACCATGGTCCTGGCCAGTTCTCCCAAATCCCCTAATTTCCCCACCATGCAGATCTTCTGTGCACTGGCCCATATAAACCAGCTGGACCTTGGCTTCTGGGGCTGGGGTGGACAGGGAGGTCTCCACAAAGCAGGTGACCTTGATGGGGACTTAGGAGGGATGGGGGTGAGGCAGAAGTGGGAGAGCGGGAGAGCTTTGCCTGTGCAGGCCAGACAGGAGGGTGTGAGATGGGCAATGAAGATGGAGATGTGGAGGTGAATGTCATTTGCCCGACCCATCTCTACCTCTTCTCAAAGAGTTCCATTCCCCACATCCCTTCTGAGAGAGCAGAACTGACATTGAGCTGACATCCATGAATGTGGCCATACTGGTCATTAAATTATTAAACTAGCCTCTATGCTAATTGGCAAATGCCTGTTACTCCCCGCCCCTTTTGCTGCATGCTTCCTCTGGACCCCTAGGATGGCCCTGGTGATCTAGCATCCGAAGTGTTAACTCTGGGGGCACCCCTGGGATTGGTGGGGGAAGGGTGTGGTCCAGGGGCCAGCTTCAAATCTGACTGGTCAACGTCTGGCTACACTGGCTGTTTCCAATTTTGATGATCATCCCTGGCACCAAGTGGTGCCACTTCTCTGGCACAGCCGATTGGGTCAGGGTGGATACATGACTCAAGCTGGGCCAATCAGATCTCGGTAGGAATGTAGGTGGGCCTGGCATTCCTGAACTTATTAGTCAGGAATTGGAAGGTGTATGGGAGGGAGAAGCATGGAAGGTCCCATGGGCAGAGAGAGACGGGAGGAGGAAGATTGATGGGGATGCATGGATGGGACCGCAGAGCCCTAGAGAGAAGGAGGAACCATCTAGACTTCCCATTTGCCTCTTCCTGTTACATGGGATACCCTATGCGTTAGTTTCCTAGGGCTGCCCTCACTAAGTGTCACAAACTGGAGGACTTAAAACAACACACTTTTCTTTTTTTTTTTTTTTTTGCGGTACTTGGGCCTCTCACTGCTGTGGCCGCTCCCGTTGCGGAGCACAGGCTCCGGACGCGCAGGCTCAGCGGCCATGGCTCATGGGCCCAGCCGCTCCGCGGCATGTGGGATCTTCCCGGACCGGGGCATGAACCCACGTCCCCTGCATCGGCAGGCGGACCCTCAACCACTGCGCCACCAGGGAAGCCCAAAACAACACACTTTTATTGTCTCCCAGTTCTGGAGGCCAGAAGTCCAAAATCAAGGTCTCAGCAGGGCCATGCTCGCTCCAAATGCCCTAGGGAAGAATCCTTCCTTGCCTCTTCCAGCTTCTGGGGGTTGCCAGCCATCCTTGGGGTTCCTTGCCTTACAGCTGGGCTACTCCCAAGAAGGACATGAATTTTGTGGGGAACGCTATTTAACCCAGTACATCTAGCATCTACCCTTGCGGGGGCATGAGAAACTTGAGTGTCCTCCCAGGAATTTCCTGCTGGGGTGGGTTCTGTTCTGTGCTGCTATTAGGGGAACCACTGACTGAAACCGCCTGCCCTAGCCAGGAACCCTAGCCACCACTTGCATGAGTTATCTTACAACAGGAGGTCCTGGTAAGGAATGCGGAACTAACAAGCTACCACCAACCAGAATTCAAGAAAGGTCAAAAGGAGAGAGGAGACGCCAGTCCATATGTCCTACCAACCTCCTAGAATCCTTCTCGCTGGAATTCATCTTGGCTGAGTGATGCATGTGCCTCTAGGGAGGATCCTGAGTCAGAATGATTGGCCAGAGATAACCCGGAAACGAATCCCGTTACCGTAAAACCCCAAGACTGTGAGCCACATGGCAGAGCAGTCCTCTGGGTTCCCTTACCCTGCTGCTCTCCACCCGGGCGCCCCTTCCCAATAAAGTCTCTTGCTCTGTCAGCACGTGTGTCTCCTCGGACAATTCATTTCTGAGTGTTAGGCGAGAGCCCACTCTCGGGCCCTGGAAAGTGTCCCCCTTCCTGCAACACTGCCAAATGAACTGTGAGACATCCTGGTCCCCAAGGATGCAGTCCCTCAAGGCTGTCAGTGTCTTTCCTAGTGGCTTAGGGATCCCAGAGACTGTCATACTTCCTGTGTTAAGTTGGGGATGGGTCTGAGACCCCTAAACAGAAACCCTTAGCCCCTGCCACCACAGCAGCCCAGCAGGATGCATCTCCAACGACGGAGGCAAAGTGGAGAAGCCCAAAGACTTGCACCAGCTTCGCATGTGAGTGGATGCATGTTGGGACCACTATGGTGAGGCAGGAGTGGGGATGGGTCTGCAGAGCATGCTTTCTTTAAGAAAAAAAAATGTGTTAAGGACATTTAACACGCAATCTACCCTCTTAACAAGATTTTAGGTGCACAATACGGTAACATATAGGCACAATATTATACAGCAAATCTCGAAAACATATTCATCTTGTGTAACTGAAACTTTATACCGATTGAACAACAACACCCTATTTCCCCCTCTTGCTAGCCTCTGGCAACCATCATTCCACTTTCTGTTTCTATGAATTGACTTTTTTAGATACCTCAGAGAAGTGGAATCACGCAGCACGTGTCCCTCTGGGTCTGGCTTATTTCACTGAGCATAATGTCCTTCATGTTCATCCATGTTGTTGCATAAGGCAGAGTTTCCTTCTTTTTTAAGGTTGAGTCATATTCCGTTGGATGGATGGACCACATCTTCTTTAACCATATGTCCATGGACATTTAGGTTGTTTCAATATCTTGGCTGTTGTGAATAATGCTACAGTGAACATGAGAGTACAAATTATTTCTTTGGGATTCTGATTTCAATTATTTTTTTTAAAGAATATCAATTTATTTTACGTATTTATTTTTATTTTGGCTGCTCTGGGTCTTAGTGGTTGCACAGGGGATCTTCGCTGTGGCATGTTTAGTTGAGGCATGTGGGATCTTTAGATGTGGCACGTGGGATCTCTTAGTTGCAGCATGCATGAGGGATCTAGTTCCCCAACCAGGGATCGAACCTGGACCCCCTACATTGGGAGCGTGGAGTCTTAGCCACTGGATCACTAGGGAAGTCCCCTGATTTCAGTTCTCTGGGATCGGTACCCAGAAGTGGGATTGCTGGATCATACTGAACATCCATTTTAGTGTCATACAGAGCCGAGTTCAAGCCCTGATTCAGGCAA